GTTTACTCGCGAATCATTAGAAGCACAGTGACGCTAGGCGATATGCGTTTACTCGAAAATCACTAGAATCACAGTGACGCTAGGCGATATGTGTTTGCTCGAGAATCACTAGAAGCATATTGACGCCAGGCGTTATGCGTTTACTCGAAAATCAATAGGAATCACAGTGACGTTAGGCGATATGCGTTTACTCGAAAATCACTAGAAGCACATTGACACTAGGCGATATGCGTTTGCTCGAGAATCACCAAACCGTTTTGGCCGAGAATGCAAAAGTAAAAGAGTGCTTGTCTTTATTTTGAAAATTTTACTTAAAAACTTGGAAGTGTAATCTTAAAATACTTGAATTGATATTTTTATTAATTTTTAACTAGCTTTCCATGGAAGACAATAAGCTAAAACAACTGCTATAGAGTATCAAGGAAATTCACATATTGCTAAACGATTTAATTATTACATATAGCAAGAACTGTAGTAGAACGTGCAAGTTTCTGTAAACATATTGTATGAAGGCAGCCCCCCTACAATTTCTCACTATATGTGACTAACACTGTTTTCAACAAAAATCAACGTTTAGTTAATATACAAATAAAAATAATGTTGTGGCTCTTTTGCTGTGTTTAAGGGTTCCATGGCCGAAACGACTCTCACTGAGTCGAGAGAAGAGAATTCTTTGATGACAAAAACGTTAAACCGCGGGCGTCTGTCTGTCCCTTATACGCGACAGTGATTATGCTCTTCCCCTCCCCCTCCTCTATCGTCTTCAACACATAAGCCCTACTCTGGGCATTCTATTTAGGGTATAATATTTAAGTGTATAATGTTAAATGCAGGGTGCTGTTTAGTCATGTTGATCGATTCCTTCTTTAATACAGCGACCAATCCAATTGTGTCCTTAAGCTGAACTCAAGGTGGCCTTGTGTGTTTTTTTGTTTTCCTAACTGAAATCTTCCTCAGTTAAAAATGTTGGAACGCTATTCTAAACTGTAGCTAGAAAATGAACGAACGGTTGTCATTCGAATATAAGAATACACCAGCAAAAATAATAAAATATTCCGTTTTAATAAGCCGAGAAGCTGTATTTCAGTGTGAAAACTCTCTAATAGAAATAATACACAAAACATTAAAATAAATAGGTGTCGTTAACCTTTGATTAGCGATTTTTGCCTTTAGGTGTTAACCGAATTACAATTCTGATGGTACATAAGTATATATATAAACAAATGTATATTCATAGATATCAGTGATGTGTCAAATACATCAACCTTTGTTACTACAATGTATGGGACAAAAAGTATTGATACCAAAATATTGAAAAACTCTAAAGAAACACGAAAAAGTGTTATCCAAGTAAATAAAATAAAAGGTGTCATTTCTATTTTATTTTCAGATATTTGGAGTTAGTTTTCGAAACGATTCTTTTACATATGATCTTTGATTGTATTTATTTGTGAAATATATATATGTGTGTGTTATGCTACCTGCTATATAGAAAGTGTCTCTAACAAAACTGAGTTAATTTTTCATTGCTTAAGCTTGAGATATAGGGAACTTCTGTAAATATGTGAAGATATGTATAAACTCTTTTTATGTATGTCATAGTATTAAAATTTGTACTGGTTTAATCTTTTTCAGATGTGCAGGATTTTTCAAGGTAAGTTCGAACCTCTTGTTTTATTTATAATCTTGTTGATTGTTAGATGCTATTTGCAGTTGGATACGTTAATTCGCTTAAGAAATGTTTTCAATATTTAAAAACAATTAATTAACAAGGTTTTGAAATGACCGGTTTCTGGTAAAAATCAGCAATCAAGTAGCACACTCTGTAAACCGAAACATTTTACAAACAAAAAGGAAAACTGGCAAACACCTATATTAAATTAATTTCAAGAAACAAAGTGTAGTTTTAATAAATTTAGTACTCGTACATTATAGACGTATTTAAGGTAGGTAGTTAACATATATATGTAAGATTACACGTAGTACAAGTAGTATTATCTATGTATCTGGCTAGGTAGTAAGATAATCTATTATTTGTTCCAAACAGCGGTCTATTCGAAGAAATAGACAATATGTGTGTAAAGCACGTGGTGCGGGCACTAATAACTGTCCAGTTGACAAAACTCACAGAAATCAGTGTAGAGCTTGTAGACTTCGCAGATGTCTGGAAGCTGGGATGAATAAAGATGGTAAGATAATTTCTGTCATAGAGAAAAGAAAGTAAAATATTCATCTATATACATTATTTACTTCAGCATGTTACTAAAGATTTTAAAGGGAGTTTTCTTATTTTTGCTTCCCTAATTTTGAAATGATAGATTAAACGGAAGACAACTAGTTAACAATACCCACACCCAACTCTCTAGGGCTATTCGCGTGTGAAAGATGAATGTGATTCGATCGCTACTCTTATAATGCGTTCACGGTCCCAAAGTGCGGATCACATATTTGGGGCAATGGGTCGTGAATCTCTGATTCACATTCAGGGTACGCCCAGCTCGCCTAAGGTTGAATTCAATCTTTCCTTGATTTTGAAATGAATAGAATATACCTCCAAGAAACCCCAAAGTGCGGATCACATATTTGGGGCAATGGGTCGTGAATCTCTGATTCACATTCAGGGTACGCCCAGCTCGCCTAAGGTTGAATCAATCTTTCCTTGATTTTGTTTCTTGGAGGTATATTCTATTCATTGTGGAATTTATTAATATACGTATGTAAGAAACACGTCGGTGAAAAAAAAAAGATGGAAATACAATAAAAAATTATATAATTATTATTTTTATTATTTTGAACATTCAAAACTGTTACTCCATATCTAGAATCAGAGGAAAGGTCTAAAACAAAGCACGTGCGCATAAGAAACCTTAACCATTAATCGATACCAGGTGCACCGCTTCACGCGCGATCTTTCACCCTGTTATTGGTAGGAAGCAAAGAGCGTGCTTTATGCGTCAGTAGATCGGTCAGTGATACAGTATAAAACGACAAATTCTGAAGTTAGTTGTTGTTCATTATAGTGTGAATAACATATTTTTATAGAAGCGTGTTTATACAATGTTTGTTTGAAGATACTCAGCACGTCAAAACTGAAGCATGACTAAATGAGTTGGTTTTTAAATATCAACCTCACCCAAACTTTATTTAGTATAAAAAGTTCAAAACGTTGAATTTTCGTTTTAATTTCTTTGTTACTGGTTTCGATTTACATTACTAGGACAAATAGACATTATTCCAAGAATTAATAAAGTTCAGAATACCACTGTTAGTAACGGATTGTGCATTAACCGTCCATTAGTGCACGTGTTAGATATAGTAAAAATGTGCTTTATGTTGGTCAAAAAAGTTTTAGGGACATCGCTACGTGCAACATATTTATGATGTGCATTACCATATTCTGTTGGAAGCAAATTTATCAGGGACACTTTAATACTGACTTCTTTATTAATGACCTGTTTTTGATAACAGACTTATCAGTATATTCTAATACGATTTCAATCACAAATTTGCCACGACAACTCATTCTAGCATAATGTTGATAACAGATATACCAATCTGTTTTGACACAGTTAATAGTACGTTAGTGTTAGTTGTACATAACTTGCTTTTATAGGAGAGACTGCTTCGATATTGTGAGCTCAACGATATTTCAGCGTTTCTATTTAAATTTTATTTTAATTAGGTAATGTTTTTGTAATATTCTTAACATGTAGATTGCTACATGATATTACTGGTAAGATTTGAAGCAACAATGTTGTCTACACTTCATTGAAATATACTTACAAAATTCTGTAAAGGAAATTATTATTTATATGCCGAGCACGATTTACTAATATCAACTCAAGTTTTCGGGCTTTGATGAGATATTGACGTTAGTAAATTAAAACACAGTAGGTAAGACAATTATTGGTGTTTGTAACGAATTTGAAATCGTATGAATGAACCCAAATATGAACCCTAACCTCTATTTTCTTACCAACTAGTGAAATCTGACTTCTGCTTAACTAACAATTTGTTAAGCCCACCTTCTATACGCTTTCAAGTAATTAACCCTATTTTTTTCACTTTCCTTACGAATTACCTTTCTTCTGGTATTAACACATATCACTTATCATCTAGTTTAGTTTGAAAAAGACGAATTAGAACATTATTCTTGGTTTCATGGTCTAACTCAACCATTTTCTTGCAGCTGTTCAACATGAACGAGGGCCTCGAAACTCTACGATCCGACGGCAAGTAGCCATGTATCTAAAGGAAACATCTGGCCCGGATGTGATGTCCACCCAAGGGTTTAGCAGTATTCCTGCGTTTACCAGCCTCCTTACGGTGACTTCCGATGCCTCAGGCCCTGCTGCAATTACTACAAAAGCCCCATCTTCGTTTTCTCTTCGAACACCTCCAATACTACATCCAGTGCCAAAGGTATTGAAGTGAAAGAGGATTAAGAGGTTTCTTTGTGTCTTATCATACATAAGTGGATTATTTGTGTCTTATCATACTTAAGAGGTTTCTTTGTGTCTTATCATACTTAAGAGGTTTCTTTGTGTCTTATCATACTTAAGTGGTTTATTTGTGTCTTATCATACTTAAGTGGTTTATTTGTGTCTTATCATACTTAAGTGGTTTATTTGTGTCTTATCATACTTAAGTGGTTTATTTGTGTCTTATCATACTTAAGTGGTTTATTTGTGTCTTATCATACTGCCTAATAAGGCTTCAATGGAACCGAACAACCACTAACTCAAAATGTTGAAGAAATAAAATTATAGATTTTATTATATTTGATAGAAATTTCTCTAAGAGGAGGAAAACTTGGTCAATGTTTTGATTAAATTACCGTGGTTGTGTGGTTAGAAAGTTGAGTAAGCCCATTCTCTCTTGGAACACCTCCAATACTACATCCATTGCCAAAGGTATGGAAATGAAAAAGGATTAAGAGGTTTCTTTGTGTCTTATCATACTTATCTCTGAGAGAGAATGGGCTTAATCAACTTTTTAGGTGTTTGTATCTAATTGATTACTTCAGAATATGACTGCGACATAGTTACATTGTTTTTTAATTGTATTGATCAGCAGTATCATATCAATCTATCAACTACTATACATGAAGACACATTTTCCTTATAAATCTCTCCGTTGAATGCACTCAAGAAGAGGCAGAGAATTGCTTTCTTAAGGTTTCCTTTATGATTCAAAGAAGCTCCCCGGTAGAACTGAGGGCTCATAACGTTAAAAATCGTCACATTATAACGCTCCCACGGCTCAAAGAGCGAGCATGTTTGATGGGGATTAAAGATGGTAGTTTTATATCAGCAAGAAGCAACGTTATTTGTTTTTACTTTGTCTGTAACTATCTTAAGAGATATGGTGAGCATTAATGACCACTATTATGCAAATCAATCAATATTTTCATTTTCAAGAAAGAAAAAATAGTTTTACGTCAGATGATGTTTTTCCTAAAATATATTGTTTGGTGTCATTATGTGTTCAAGGAAGGAGTACGTAAAAATAAAGGAATCGTTATTATTTATTTCAATATAAATCCTCAATCTGATCTATATTTAGATCAAATTGAGAGTAGATTAGAAAAATAACTACAAGATAAAGCTAAAACACTTTAAATTTGATTTATTTAACAGTTGAGGTACGTACAGTTTTTTTTAGCATTCCTCTTCGCGCGCAAACAAAATCGACGCAGAATGTTGCAACGTAGTTTCGATAGCAAATGAATGCACAATACTTAAATATAGGACACGCAATAGTACTTGAAACTACTAATAGTTAGTTCTTAGATTATTATTCTCTTCACCCTTAGTATCCTCAAAAGCTCAATTTTGGACAGTCTTTCTTAAATAACCCAGACGTCGTTTGCGAATCAGCAGCGAGGATTCTGTTCATGAACGTCCGGTGGCTGAAAACGGTTCCTGCGTTCACTAGTCTGCCATTCAGAGATCAGGTAGGTGGAGTTTATATTAATTAATATGTTGAGCACATCGAATCGCTATGTTATATTCAGAACTAACACAAAGTAGTATGCTTTATTATATCATAAACCACTTTTGTGGTTCATAATGGGGATCGCAAAGACTTCCACAAAACTCTAATAGAATGTTCGAGCATAAAACACCTTAACAGCAAAGATTCAGTTCTAATAACGCTTTAAAACCTTTACTATTGATTGCTGAGGCTGTAAACATATAAAAATGCACAAACAAGAACGCATGTTAGACTTACAAGAAATAGAAAATCCGCTCAAAATGGTCGTTTGTAATTCTTATTCTTTTGCCAGCCTATAACACGGCTTGGTATATTCCACCCAAACCTTTTGTAGAATACTAAATAAGCTACTGCGAAGGTTCTAGGAGTATGGAAAAGTCGATTTGTTTCTTCTATATTTTACAAAAGTTAAAACTTCATAATTCTACTGTAAACGATGTTTTCATTACCCCTTGAAGCTAGCTTTCTTACAAATATCTGAAATTCTTTTATAAAAGCTTAAGAACAAGGTGAAACAGGAATTACTAGCCAATAATAGATGAACATTAGATGACTAAAACATGTAGATACTCAATGCTTTGTGCACTATACAACCGTTGTCTTTAGGGAGCCAACCTTTATATTATGTATGAAGTGAAGGAGTAAAAAAAACAACAACATACACATAATATTAAATTTTATGACACACATTTTCAGAATAATTACTTTAAAAGACACGAAGGTGTATTTAAAGCGATGTTCTAGTCATATATGTTTTATTTGAAAAGGCTGACTTTCTACTGGTAAAATTTTATACGCACTTAGTGGGGGTTATCTAGGCACATATTTGCCCATTTCTATGCATTATACATAGAGAATCTAGTTACACAGAAACTATAAATGCTCACTATATTCTCAAACAAATCTCCATAACAATCCCCAGATGCAGCATAACATTTTACATCTCGAACTAATGCAATCCAATAGTCAATCGCTACAGTAAATCATCATGTACCGTATCAGCTACTTACTAGCTTTGTATATTATCATTACAGTGTTTAAGGTTATCTACCATATCAATTAATCCTTTGCCAATAGTAGAGCATAAAAAAGCCAGCAAACAAAACAAATAAAAAATGGGGAATTTAAAACCTGTCTATGGTATTTCCATCCTTGTTTCCTTTTTTTTACGATCCCTAATTACAGCTTTTTAAACTTCCCAATTTTTAGCTATGTTGTTTCATTTCGGAAAAGTGTGAGGTTTTTGTTTAATATACATAACGATTCCCTAAAACAGTGTCTTTCTCAATTATATAATGAAATGGTTTTCGTAATTTTCAGTTACTTCTTTTTGAAGAAGGATGGCGAGAGCTTTTTGTTCTTGATGCTGCTCAATTTTTGTTGCCAATAGAGGTCAGGGCATTACTAGCTGCAGGAGGTAAGTTAGTTTTTTTTACTTTAATTTTTTCCTAAAATTTTCATTGATAAAGTAAAACCACATAAGATGTCTAAAACACTACATTAAACAAAGCTCGTCCCAAGCAAATGCTCCCAGACCCAAATAAACAGTGAATAAGAGTTAATAAAAAGTCCAAAGATTCCGGGTTTGTGGCCCATTGCCAAAAATACGGGGGGGGGGTCGCTGTAAGCTTGATTGTCAGATATCATCTTTCGATTAGATAAAAGTAGCCTTCACTTTGATTTATTTATGGTTGGAGGTTATATGCTGCTGTTGTCGGGTTTGTGGAATTCTTCCAAATTTCAACATCGTCTGTGAATTGGAACAGTATCGTCATCCTCGTACACTGGATGACTTTTGGAAAGTAAGCAGGGAGAAAGGATGTGATTTAGACTGGACAGTCTGATAACGGAACCTTTCACAATGAAAGCTACTCTGCATGGTTACTGCCAAAACGCGCAGTCATCACATAGAGCATGATTTGTTGACATGGGCTATAATACGTGGTGAGGATCCAACCAATATCCTTTTAATATAATGCATTTAACCTCTCTATTGCATAAGCTAGTGAGGAAAAAATTGTTCTTAAGCCTAAATACAGATATATTTGATTTGTTGGATTTATCTCAGTTCATTGTGATGAACAAAAATGGCATTACAGGTCTTTTTTTTTATCTGCTACAAGCTATTTAATTTATTCCATTTTAAAAACCAACTTACCATCCAGTAAAATTCGCATATTTAACTCAGAATGTTTGCGCAGAGATACACAAAGACCTATTTGTGAATAGGCATTCCTGACTCTGAACTGAGAATCTACGGAGGAGGCTGCTAGTTAACAGTACCCACTATACATTCTGGGAATTTTGTAATAAATGGAGACTCAAAATATATGCTTTAGAAACTAAATTAATACTCCCACCAAATCAAGTGTAACAAGAAGGACTAAACCTGGACTATATTTAGATAGAGCTATTCTCCGGGTAGCATCAGCTATATTCCTAGGATTAAAATACGGCTCAAAGTTAACCTGATCTTTTTTGATTTTATTTTTTATTTATTTGTTAATAGTTTTGTGTTTTGGTAGTTTAATTAATCAAAATGTTTCAAACATACTGTTACGACAGCGGAAGTCGCGTGACGCTGGTGACACGTGATGAATTTCTCGAATGATCATGAATGATCGGGGAGGCCCGAGTGTATTCGAGACGCCTTTTCGTTAGTATATAAGCTTGGCAGAGAAGCCAGCGATAGATAGATAATTAAAGAAGCGAACAGTATTGACGGTAATATAAAGTGTGTGTTTGTACTCGTAGAGAGCAAAGTTATCGAGATTGTGAATCGCTGTGATTTATAGCGTGTATAATAAAAGTAGTTAAGTTTAAAGTGACGAGAAACGTACTGACTGTGGAATTACTGTGTACTAAAAGTTTGTATCGAGAAAGAATAAACTGGTTTAATCAAGAAGGGACTTGTATCGCTGAAGTTCCTCGGAAAGAATTTATACCGGAAATTAACAAACAAGCAGATAGGTAACAATACTTTCAGGGTTATATTTGTTAATAGTTTTGTGTTTCGGTGGTTTATTTAATTAAAATGTTTCTAACAAACTTTCGTCGGTTTCAGGCAATATCAATTGTTTCATACTATTCAATAAATAGCACTGGATATACGAAATTTTCTTTTCACTGAAAAAAACAACTCAGCCAAACTAACGATTGGTAGACCTCTTATGCGTATGTAGATTTTATCAATATATCACTAGCACATAGCCCGTTAAAAACGACGGGGCAAGTACTACCATCCTCACCCCATAGTATACCCTAACCTCACATGTCATAGCTAACTGAAATCAAGCTTCACCCCCCCCCACAAAAAAAAAGTGTGAAAAAAGAGAAGTGCAGTCGAGGCAGTCAAACGTCGGTAAATTCCTTTGTGAGCCAATTAAAATTAAGATCATTTGTGGCGTATTCATAGAATAATTTACGGTAAAAATCAGTTACATTAACAACTTCTAATATATATATAGAAAAGCCAGTGCGTTTTGGTAAAATTACTTTCCAACAATGGCTTTTATGACATCTCGCTTAGCAACAAAAGTATAACCTAATACGGTACCTGATGATGACAAAACCTTGTCGAAACGTTGTACATTTGCTGTTATGTTAAACTTATATTAAAGTTTTTCTTCATTACCCATTCAAGCCGTCTCCAAGCATTATAACCTAATATTGTTATTAATATATGTACTGAAAGTATAAAATGAAATGTATAGACAACAAAACTGGAAAAATATTTGTTGATTTCTTAATTTATAGTTTCCGTTGATTAAAGAGGTTTGTTTTTTATTAAAATCGTTGCTGATATAACAGAAAATAGTTTAATTCAGAAACGATTTAAGTCTAAAATTGAATCGATATTTTTACTTTCATGATAAATTGTATGCACTTGGCTCTAGGCTAGGTGATTCCACACTACGTCTTTAACATAGGCTTATTATACTAACACTCACTACTAGGTATGCACGGGTAGTAAAATTTGGCCGACTACCGGGTCCTGGTACCCAGTTACCAAGCTTCGGCCGGGCTGGGTTCTCCCCTTGTCCCTCCCAAACAACAACAACAAAAAAAAACACAACATACACAAAAAATAGAAACAGAAACAAAATTGACGTTTATTACATTTATGATTTAACTGGATAATCACCAACAGAACGTTCAGTTTTACTTTTAACTTTCACTGCCTAGCCCCAACTTCTCAAATCCTTACCCCTATTGTTCTGAAAACACCCACCTTCCCCAGAAATCCACTTCTCAAGTGTTACATATTACAATTTATAATGGTCTGAAACAAGCTAAATGATAATTTAAATTTAGTTGTTAAATTGTATTTTAGATTTGGCAGTTAAATAAAAGCCGATATATAGACAGCTTATTATATTTACCAACAAGATTGATACATATAGTTTTCTCTTTTAATATACACACACAACAATACAATTTACAATAACAGTTATTACAAATAGTTACTACAAAAGATGATTTATATACAAAAGTTTCACAATCTTACAAGCAGTATAAAGTCTTCTTTCTAGTCTGGAACTTACTTGATATCTTATTGAGGGTTCACGATAAGCGAGTTAATTTCGAGTTGATGTATGTATAATTGACTTAACAGGGAGCTAGCTAGCTCTATAGTTCTCGCTGGTCACACGTGTGTGATGACGTTAGGTGATGTTTTCGTAAAAGTACTAATGTCCGATATGAATCCATTGAAGTTGAATGGTTTGTAATGTTTGAAATTTATAAATGTTCGTGGTCAAATATCTAATGTGTCCCGATTGATAAGTGTTATAACAATCACAGTTATAGCTTCCAAAGCTTGTAGCACACCAATTACATCAACCCAATAATAGATACTGTTTTAGGCACGTCGCTTTGGCTATATTTATAGGTGTGTTGAGAGTTTCTCGAAAATCCAGATTACATAACAATACAAAGCTACACTGGCGTTTACGTACACACACATGTTGTTGATTCTTACACTCGGGAATCTTCTATAACTTTAGAGAATAGGCGGGAGTTTCGCAATACATATTCAACACACTATAAGCTGTGCATAATCCTAAATATAAACTTAATCTAAACAAAGTTGATATTAAAACAAACATATAATAATAAATCTGTCACAACTCTGTACTTAGAGAATTAAAAATTAGCGTTAGATAATTTTTAACTAAAATATTATAAATATATATATATATA